TTTTTTTTTTCTCAGCATACTAAGTGAGGCAGGCCTGCAAGTCTGCATAAATTTATAGCTTGTCCATGGGACCAATGCATCAAAAAGATGGATAGGTTTCATTATGGCTTATATCTAGTTTATATAGTGTGATTTATGATTGATCTAATTGTTTTCTTGCACTTCAGAATTATTTTACCTACAAAATAGCCTTCATGTTATGAAACTGCAATATCATCTGCATCTTCAGAGTATCTGCACAAAGTCACTACAAATTTTTACATCTGAAGGACACTGCAGCCTATTACACAACAAATTATCAAAGTTAATGATTGCATATTCGTATACATATTCAAGTATGATACTATTACAAGCACGTGTGAACCAAGCCTTGGGATTGAATCTGCCTGGGGCCTACTAAATATTATGGAAGTGTCGTTCCTGCACGACATTAATAGTAGATAGAAACTGCACTTGCTATGTGTGCAAACATGCTGTAATTAGAAATAAAGCAGTTAATGAAATAATACTAATTTTTTAATATTATGTTTCAACATATTTTTAAAACACCATATTCATAAAGCATTTAAAAATATTAATACTGTAAAGTTTATATTAGGAAACAACCTGATTCCTATTAAGTCCACATACTTCAGGTAAGATAAACAAATCTCCCTAATTCTAAGTACAGTCTGGTGAATAACTTTCCTAATGCCCAAGGGGACTAAACATAAAGAGTTAATTTCCATGATCTAATGAATAATTAACCATGAAATCTTTTTATCGGAAAACCACTTTTTTATTAAAATGCTAATTTAATTAATAGAATTTTGCTGTTTAGAGTAGTATATATAGAATATATTTGTTCTCAGATGTATGTTATTCCATGGACATTAATTATAACATTGTGATATTCTCTCCTCTGTTCTGAACATCTAGTAAGACCTGTACTACTAAATCATACTTAATAGGAGTGTGATGGTTGTTGCTTAGGCAACAGAATGAATAAATGCAGGTCAGAATGTGCTTCCAGAAAAACAAAAGCAGGAATATAGTAGAGAATGAATAAGAAATATGTCTTAACTGATTTTTACTGCACTGAAGTATTAGATTTCTTCACTGTAAAGTAGCTAACCTATCTGAAACATTTAATTTAATAAGATTGAAAACTCTAGCTTAATATGTAAACCACTGTAATAAAGGTAAAGCATTTCTGTCATATTAAGGAAGATTACAACACATTGAAGTAATCTGATTTTTTCTCTTAGCATAGCAGGTGTTTCTTCTCTCATTTTCCTATATACTTTCCGAGTTTAATTTTCTCTTTAACATTTTGACTAGAATGGAAAATAATTTCTCAAGCACTCATTTAAATTTTTCAAAGGAGGTTTTTCTTACATAATGCTAATATATTCAAAGGAATAATATAAAAAGAAATCACTGTTTTTTGATAATTCTTATTTTCAATAAAATATGGGAACTATAAAATTTCTGGTACAAACAAAAACTGAAATATGTAACAGCAGGATGAACAGTGTGAAATCAATAAATTAGGAACTCTTGGATTATTCCATTCACACATGTATGTTATGTCAATTCATATTAAGAGTAATTAAGTATTTTACCTGCAATATATATTTAAAAACAAAGCACTTCAGAAAAGGTTAAAATTATCAGAAAACACTGGCTAACAGATAGGTATGCAAGCATAACTTACTCTCTCTGATACCTTAAAAGTTTGATTTCTATACTGAATAATAACATCTTGTATATAATTTGTATGTTTACATAAGTATACTAATAAGAGACGTAGGAAAGTCTTATGAATTCCCAGAGAATGTGGTTCAGGCCCCTCCAGAGTCAGGGTATGACTGAAAAGCCCTCCAGGGTAGTTTATCTGGCTTCTCTTGTGCTCATAATCTACCTGTGGTAGGTGTACCCCTCTGCATTTGCTGTGCCACCTACAGCCTCTTGTGAAAAATTTCCTTCTGTAACCTCTTTAAGACTAAATGGTCATCTACTTATGTAACTAATGCTACAACACATATGAGAATATGTAGTTACATTTTGGGAAACCGTAGCATGAAACACATCTTGGATTTTATTTTTTTTCACATTGCTGAGCACGGCTTTGTTTTCAAGAATACTTAAAGGCAAAGATTCTAATGATTTTTAATGAATAAGCAAATGATCACATGGCAGCCATGTAAAAACAGGAAGAAACCTCTGCACTATTATTATGTGGAAATGACAGTGATACGTGCCTTAATTTTCTGATCAGTAATGGCATATAATGTTGTTCACAAAATAATTTAAATAGGAAGACTACAACTCATGTGATGATTTTATAGTCATAATTCATGCTGTTTCACTTCTGTTTCTTATATGATGTGTGCAAGTTATGAAAAGTTAGAACTGTTCCAACATATACATGGTTATTAAAAATATCTTTAAAAGGTATTTTAAAAGATGTTTTAGGGTCTGCTACTTTATAAGAAATGCAGTCAGGATTTTTGGAAGAGGTTGAGGTAATGGGAATACTGAAGCAGATAGAAAAGTGATTATATAACAGCCTTACAAGTAAGCTTCTCGCTTTACTGTCAATATTCATTACAATTGAAAGTTTGTGCATGACAGATCTCTGTTACTTTACACCACATGGTGATACTGTAAATCTTGAAGTACCTAACATTTCATTTCATTCAAATATTCCTGATAAATGCCTACAGTTAAAACATGAAAATGGAACAATTAATAGGAATGCATTACTTTTCCTCCCAGGGCATAAGTTTCAACAAGTGAATCCCATAGCCTGACTATCTAAGATGCAAAAATATTTAACTGAGACATTCAGAATCACTTGCAGAGAGAGCACACTTCATTAAATAATTTTCTGTTATTAAAATACCTCTCAAGGCAAGAATGGCATTGCATGTTATTTAATTATCATTGCAAGTTAATGTTGAAATAAAAGTAAGAATGTGATGTAGTGCAGAAAGGGGTGCTTGCAGCTTTTACATACTATGAAAATCCTTCAATGGATTAAAAGAATGGTGCATTTTTCTTCTTTAATCTGAAGATTTATGAGGGAGAGAAAGAACCTTAATATTCAGTTTTTATTTTACCGTATTTCAGGCTAGAATATTTTGTAATGTGTACAGTTTGGAAGTTTATACAAGGACAATTTATATACTAATTCAGCTACACATAGAAAAGTGAAACACCAAACAGATCTCAGTGCAATGCAGAATAGCTTTAAGGTTTTTATGAGCACATAAGAGACAGACAAAAAAAGGCAGAGCTACAGTGTATATACACAGCTATGCACAGAAGATTTCTTACCATAAATTGCACATTGTCAAATCCATTAGCCAGCAAGTGGTTTTCATACTGAGGTAGCCCAATATTTTCCAACCATTGTCCCACTGTCTGGACAGGGCATCGGGGTCCTGTAGGAGGGTGAAGAGGGAGGCGTTTAAGCAACGAATAACCATCCACCGGATAATAGCGGTAGTCCTGGGCTGAGAGGTGGCATTGCCACATCGTGTTCCTGGAAAAGTTGGTATCAAACGAGCCCGCCAGCTTGACAGATTAATGTTTCCAGCAAGCAGAAAAGTCAGAAGTAAAACATAGTTTTCAGGGCAGTATATAGCGTAAGATCTGATCGCAGCTCTACATTTCTTAGTTATTAATCTTTACTACAGACCAGTACGTCATACAGTAGGGAGGAAAAAAAAAAGCATATCAAGCTGTCAGCTAAGCTGTTCTCCGTTATATGCGATTGTTGGAATACTCCACAATGAGCAATGCACTGCCAGCAGCAAGAATTCTTTTTATCAAGTACTCCTACACTCATCAGTATGCATCCCCATGCTTCTTGCTCCCCCTCGCTCGCTCCCCTTCATTACCCAGCCTAGGCTACACCTCGCATTTTCAATAATAGCCATCAGATAAGGCAGATTTTTTTTGTCTGCAAGCTGTAAGCCTGCTGCTGCTGCTTCCTCCTACACACCCATCCAAGCGTCAATCTTGAATGATGAGAGCAGTCAAAACAAATGCAGAAAATAGCAAGATTCAAAAGCAACCTAGAGCACTTAAATCTGAATAAAATCTTCATACCAGTTACGCTTTACATATCTGTTTGTTGTAGATTTTTACATTTCACAAGACATTAAGAAATGTAATATATAAACCATAGCCTATGGCACGGTTTACTATATCTTCCCCTTACCCCTTTTAATATAAGATAGGTAGTGGTCTGCATCTCTGCTTGTATAATAGGAAAACCCTTTAATGAATCAATAATGAATACATTTCACAGTTTCTCTCCTGTAGTACAGAAAAACACATAAATGGCACAACAATTTTAGTCAAAGTAATTAGATTATCTGCATGATTTCTTCAACCATAAAATAAGACACAAGAAAACCTTCATGCTGACATATAATAATTCAACTTGAAAAGGTCACCATTTCAAATGAATAATTAAAAGAATGTTTCTACTAAATAAAATTGCGAATTTATATCCTTTCTTGCAAAAACGTGAATGACAGCAAGCACACATATAAGATTTGCATGATTTCTAGAGAGGATGTATATTTTATCAACTATAACTGAAAAAAAAAGATGATGAATTTTAAATGAAAGCAAAGTTCATTTTCTGCAAAAGAAACCAAACTCCTCATGATGTATTTTCTATCTACATTCCATTTTTGAGACAGTTTTTCTAGAAATGGAAATATTTTACTCCTTTGTTCTGAAAGGAATGTGTACTAAACTTTTGCTTTTCACAACAGGATGAAAGGATTTAGCAAAAAAGGCAGAAAATGGGTATATTCAGGATAAAATTCTAAGAGGAACCCTGTTCAGCAGAGCTTCATTTATTGAACACATTAAGTACTTTTTTTGTTTTTCTTGTCCATTGTAGATCTCGAGCAACAACTATCTCTAAGGAGGAATTTAATTCCAGGCATAAGGAAATTATAGATATCTGTCAAGGGCATCATTTGGGACTGATGATGGTAGATATAGCAGAAAACTGTTTCATAGAAATCCAAACCTATAGTCTGACCAAAATGTTATAATACGAAGTCTCTGCAAGTGCCATGCAGAGAATCCCTGAGCAGTCACAGAACAGATCCGAAATATAGCTGGATATTTAGAATTAGGAATATTATAAGAGTTTCAACTCCAATCTGATTAGTCCTTGGACTAAAACTGGCTGACCTTTCACTCTGATATTGCTGCTTGGATTTGTGAAACAACTCATGCAAACTGAAGTCCATAATGTTTTGTAGAACAATTTTAGTTGAGCCATAGAAGATCTTCCATGAGGTTGGAAAATTGCCCAAAACAAGTCTGTTATGAGATCATACGTTACTCTATGTATTCTTACTGATTTGATACTACTACACAAAGTATGAAAGATTTACTAGATCTTTAAAAAAAGTACTGAAGACTTATCAAGCACTAGTAAATCTGCAATTGCTGAAGAAACTTTTAGGAATTTTCTAATAGCTAAATTTACTTCAAATAAACAAATGGATAATTAATTTATTCTCAGAGAAAGTAGGTACACCAAGTTGATAGGAGTCTATGTCTCATGGAGATCCAAATGCATTTGTTCACACCTGTCTAGAAATCATCCCTATTTTGCAGAGTTTTTTCTACTGTGAATCAATACCTTTGTATATAGGCTGTGCCCAGTCAGTAGCAAGGAGAAAGGTAGGCTATGTTGAGTTGAAATATAGGGGACTTCCCTTGAATAGGCAAATCTGAGAGGCTGGACAAAATCTTAAGAGGGCAAATTGAGAACAAAGTTATCTTAAATAAGATGAGAATTAAATCCTTTCTGAATTTTTCTTAGTCGGCTGAGAAATCATAAACTTCTTTGAAAAAAAAAATCCAGATTTTGTCTTTCCCTTTCCCCCACAAGCAGAAAAACTGATATTGGAAAGAGATCTAGTGAAGCATAGTCCCTTTGAAAGGATTATACATGACTGGTGCCTGTATTTCCTATATATGCATAGACACAAATGTCTCTGCACTGTGTCACCCTAACTAACACTAACAAAAATTTTCTGCCCACAGTAAGGCACAGACAATAATCAGTATATTAGTTTCATGGTCAAACTGCTTCTTCCTTACCTTACTATAAGCAGCATGGAAGTTATGCTGCCAACGATGAGAAGTGCTTGGCTCTATGCCTAGCAACAGTGTAGGCAAAATTCAGTTTTTGAGTGGCTCCCCAGACACATTTCCTCATGTAGCTGTTGGTACTGTGTCTAACTATCTCCATGGCTCCAGCACTGGATGATTATAGCTGCTCGTCCCAGTGTCCTTTGCCAGTGTAACTAAACATCTGAATCCATCAACACAACATAAGGTTGCTCAGCAAGGGGAAAGAAACTAGGGAGAAACACAGTCAGCTGGCTGCCTAGTCCTCATCCCTGACTATTGTCTTATTGCTGAAGCATCTTGGGATGTGCAAGATTTTTTTTGCTCCTTCTTCAGCCAAAGGTTGTAGCAAGGCAAAGGAGAGCACAGAACAGAGACAGGAATGTTTGTATTAGGGAACTTGCAGCTCTTTAGATCTTCAGATTTTTAGCCAGTTCAGGTGTCTTACCTCAGGGGGGCTGCTTGGACAGTTTTTCTGAGCCAGTGCAGTTGTAACCTAGAGCAGAAGCTACTGCTTTGAGCCTAAAGGCTATCTCTTAATTTTGCTAGTCTATGACTCGGTGCTAGCCCCACTATTGTGCTGCTGCAGGTAGTGCCTACTTTGCTTATACCTAAAGCTGGTCCTGACATTGAAAAACTTACTGTATGGGATTGTCTTACTTGCAACACATCTACATATTGCTGTGCTTTCCTATGATTTCAAAGGACCTAAATGCCATGATAATCCTTCTGTGATACCACAATCAAAAAAGATGTACCCTTTCCCGCACAGGAAAACTGACATGTAAGTCTCTTACAGAGATAGCAGCACTTGGTTCTTCCTTCTCCAAAGCAATAGAAGAAGCACAGTGAAGTGATGTCTACAAGAAATATGCCATCTGGTACACTATACAACAATTTCTACAAGACATCTTGTTCCCAAGGGGACTCAGAATATATTTATTGTGGGGTTTGGAATTGACTGAATCTGTGATATCAGAGAGCACATGATTTCAAATATGTTGTAAGGCATATCTGCTCTAAATGCTAAGTAATTTAAGGTCTCATCAATTTTATTTTCTGTTAACAATATGGATTCTTCTTTCTTGATTTTTCTTTATTTGTTTTTTGACTGAGGAAAAGAAAGAACTGCAGTGATTATTTCTAGAGGAGGTGCTCCCCTAGTCATTATGAATAGACTATTATAAACAATTCTTTTTTTAGTAGGTAAATACCTTTCAAACATTGCTAAACACTTCTGGTCTTAAGGAATCAAAATCCGGAGAATTTCAGTAGCTACTGACCAAAAAATTTCTGAGTGGAGAATATATCACAATATGGAAGGATGGTTCATTTAGGTAAGCTGGTAGAGAGTTTAGCAGAGCTGGAGAAGAAACGGATGCTACAGTAAGTACTGTAAACTTTTTTTTATTATTATTAAAGCCTTCACCCTTACCCAACGCTAAACAGGATATAATTTTTCTCTTTATATTATTTCAGCCAGATAAAAAAGTTACCTGTCGACATTGTGACAGAACCTGTGCTACAGCAGTTAGCATGACAGGGTGTTCTAGTGAACAAATGAATCTAACAACATGTATTCCTGAGAGGAGATAAGAATAGCTAGGAACAGGATGTTGTATCAGAACAACTGTGCCTAACATCCAGCAGGCCACTATAATTAAAGAAAGTTTATTATGGGAGAAGTATAGTAGGTTCCAAGAAGTGTATGCAGTGTTCTGCTTTATCGTATGCATTTCAGTTATATTATTAGGCTACTCAAAAGGCTTAGATTTTAAACGGTCTTTTTCATAAAACTCTGAAAAACCTGGATGCCTTACATAAAATCTGTAACTTCTGTCAGCAGCCTGGCTCTTTGGATGATGATGACACTGTGGAAGATCATGTTTGGTGATGCTGAATATTTCTCTGAAAGTGCTTTTAGAGACATTTTTCATGACATACAGAAACAAAACAAAATCAATAGTAACAGCTTGAATTTAAATAACACTATCTAGTATTTATAATCTAAAGGTTACATTCCATTGCTTATGTGTAGCTCAGAACTCACAAAAATAGCTCTCAGATCACAGCTAATCAAGCTAATGGAACAACCCTTATTGACCAGGAAAATCATCCTCACAGTTCTTTTCTGATTTTTACATCAATATTGATTATAACTCTACCTTACCACTATGTAAGTACAATAGCTGTATCTATAATAACTATAACTACAAATTCAACAAAGACAATTCATTTTACTTGACAGATTATTTGTCAACAGTGAACTGTA